TGGGGGGTGAGCTGGGGGTGGGGGAGGAAGTTTCCTGGTGAGGGGAGGGAGAGGGAGAAGGGACTTGAAATAAGCTTGTTCCCTAACTAGAACAACAACAACAACAAAAACACTAATTGGAAGAAACACTTCCTGGTACTCATGAGGCAACCCATAAAAATTTGGAGCCTTATGCCTTTCCCAGGTACAAAACCTAACTCGAGTAACTGTGGTAAACACCACAATCTTCAAGGCTCAGTCTCAGGTGACTAGATAATACAGTGATAGTAAGGAGATATAGTATTATCCGAATACTCCAAGTTTTATAAATGTCCACAAAATAATAAATAAGGAATCAGTTTAAAAGGTGAAAAAAAAAGAATTTGGCTTTTTTAAATTTTAGCATTTTTCTTTGTATTTTTGTCATTGTAAATAATAATTGTCTTATATTTTCATAAATATTAGTTACGTCCCTCATCTTTGCAAATTATAAACAGTCTTGGAATGTTCTTCCCATTTGTGACTATCCATACTGTAGATTACACGTTGCATTTTTAGCAGACTGTGAATGGTTACTAATGCTGTCAGTTCTCTGACCACCACAGGAGCGACAGGTAATGTGTCGCTCTGCTTTGCACTTTTAGAGTAACCAGTAGAGAATGTCTGAAATCCATTACCTCAGATGTCAGAAGCCCATTTTCTGGATGCACCTAGAGAGACTGAAGTAGGAAGTTTGTTGATGACCATTGTACAGTGAATTCTGAGACAGCACTTGGGGATCCATGAGAACTAGCATCAGCCCTCAGCCAAAAGAGTAGAAGGAAAAGTAGGGGGATGTTCCCTCACATTCTTATGAGGGTTAGTGTTTTGTATAATTGATGCAAGCAAGGTTCTGGGAAGAGGAACCTCAGCTGAGAAGATTCCTCCATCAGACTGTCCTGTAGGCGATTCTGGGGACATTTTCTTGATTAATGATAGATGTGAGAGGCCCCTGACCACTGTGGGCTGTGCCATCTCTGTAAAGTGGGTTGCAGGAAAGGAAGGCAGAGATAGCAATGAGGGATAAGCCAGTAAACAGCATTCTTCTCTAGCCCATGCTTTAACTTCAGCCTTCAGTTTCCTGTCTTGAGTTCCTGCCCTGACTTCCCTGCATGATGAAAAGTAAGCTGCAAGATAAATCCTTTCCTCCCCAAGATGGTTTTGGTCATGGTGTTTATCACAGGAATAGAAAGGTAAGACACTTGCCTCATGTGTTTTCTCCTTCTAGGGTTCTCCTTCTGCACTTCATGAAGGAGTGACATGCTGTGTCACAACAATGGACTATGAGGAGAACGTAAAGCATCATGTCCAATTTCTCTTATTACACTTACTAGGAATTTTATTCCTGTCCTCATGGGGGAGATTTCACTCTTGTTTAGTGAAAAGGCAGCACTCGGACTCAGAATACAAGGCCAACTAGCATAAATCAGGAAGAATCTGTCTCAAAAAGTAAAAGTAAAAGAATCTGGGGATAAAGTTTGGCAGTGGAATGCTTGCCTAGCACATAGAGAGTCTTATACTCAATGCTCAATAAAGAAAAAAATAAGAGAATCCACAAAAAAATGAGTCAAGGAATATACTCTTCCTGTCACTGTCAGAGAGTATGGTGTTTCTAGATGAGAGCTGGCTGAAAATTCCCCAGCCGGCTACTGCCCCTTCTGTTTATATGCCAGGACTTTTCCTAGAACCACACACACACTCAAGATATCCCTGGCTTGCTGAGGACTGGATTAGTCTTACCACCAATGTCTTTATGGGAGCAGAAAATGCTCCCTGAGTTATTGCAGAAAAATGCAATTGCTAGGCTAATTCTAGAAGCTGGGTAATGGTCCACAGGGCTGCAGGCTGTGAAGGTTTTTGAGGACACAGATAATAACAACGTGTTCCAAGTCTCTGTAAGCAGTGAGGCTTTGTGAGAGGGCAAGGCCTATGATTCTGGGGGCTGTCAGTATGCTGCATGCTCCCAGGGTCAGAGAGTAAATCTAGAGAAAGACCTGGGTCTGCACCTATGCACCCTAGAGTGCAGCATCTCCAGGTTTTCCCTCACTATCTCTTCACTCCATGTAGCAGTTCAGACATCAGAATATAAGTAGCTGCCTGTGGTGGATTGAAAGAAAATGCCCCCCAAAGGGAGTGACACTTTCAGGAACTATGGCCTTGTTGGAGGAAGTGTGTCACTGTGGAAGTGGGCTTTGTGGTCTCATATATACTGAGGCCACGCCCAGTGAGACATTTCCCTTCCTTTTTCCTGTAGATTAAGATGTCAATGTCTCAGTTCCTTCTCCAACACCATGCCTGCCTGTATTCTGCCATGATGATAATGGTCTGAACCTCTGAACTGTAGGCAAGCCAAATAATTGTTTTCCTTTACAAGAGTTGCTGTGGTCATGGTATCTATTTACAGCAATAGAAACCTTAAGACATGTCCCTAACAACATTTTCAACAAAACTACATTTATTCACTGTATCTTACAAACATCTAAAGTGATAATACCCTCCGACTCCTTGCAACACCCCTCATTACTGTCTTTATTGCCCATTGCCTCTAGCCTTCTACTACTTAGCAAGAGCTGGATCAGCCCTGAGTGAGAAGGAACTCAGTATGTTTTCTTTTTCATTTTTGGTAGAGGGGTGCGGGGTGCTGCTTTGAGGGGACATCCCACAGGTCGCACAGTATCACTTCTTCCTCTTCCTCTTCCGGGTACTTAGTGATTCAAACTTCTTCTGTGCCTGCAAAGAGTGAGTGAGTCCCAGGGCTGAGAGTGGCCCTTCAAATATCCCATGACCAAGCCCTGAGTTGGACCTCGTAGCCATAGGTTTCAAGCCTCCAATAAGAGCTGGCTTCTTAGACTTGTCATTTGAAGGTGGATCAGGACTGAGGTCCCTCTTCTTTGGAGATAACGGATTGGGGATACTAGCAGAGTCAGAGAGACCTGTATAGGGGCACAAATAGCCAGACAGTTTCCATGGCACCAGACTGTAGTGGGAACACAGGAGGAAGGACAAGCTGGGGAGCTCCTCTTTGTCCTCAATGGTTCTGCCCAGTGCCTCCTGGAACTCATCCAAA